CCTCCTCCTCCTCCACTCCTCCATCCTCGCCCTCCTCTCCTCCTTCCCCTCCCCCCGCCCGGCCCGTTGGGAAGGCCTCCGGTTGCGCACAGACGGCTCCCCAGCTGGTCCCGGCTGGCCTCAACAGCCTTTCACAAGCACCCAGAATAGTCCGGGGCGCCCCAGGGCCGCCTTGGGAGGCGGCGCCAAGGTGTTGAGACCGCCCCCTACTCGGGGGCCTGTTGAGGCCAGCCGGGACTTCTCGGGGGGGCTGTTGAGGCCAGCCGTGATCACCTGGGGTGGCTGTCTCTGTGCTTTCCGAAGCCTAGCCATGGCCCGTCGCAGGCCCTGGGACAGACCGAAAGCAACCCCGGATGGAGCGCCAGGCCAGAAGAAGAGGTCTGAAGGCCGAGGGTTATGTTGCTCCCATCGCACTTACGGACCACACCCCAGAAAAAATTCGAGCGCCCAGAAAAGCATCGAAACAGTGTCGAACGAGTGTCGCCTCCCCGGGCTCGACACGTGAAAACCCTCCGGCCTCGGTGCCTTCTTGGTGCTCGAGATTCTTCCTGGTGGCCAAGGCCAGAGCAGGTTGGAACATCATGAGCCGAGGGGCCCATGCCTCTCGGCAGCGGAGCCGTGCAACTCCTGGCAAGGGGGGAAGGGAGCTCGTTCTGACACTTTGCCCTGCGGCCTCCGAGGGACCCCTGGAGGAGGAGGAGGAGGAGGAGGAGGAGGAGGAGGAGGAGGAGGAGGAGGAGGAGGAGGAGGAGGAGGAGGAGGAGGGGGAGGGGCAGGAGGGGGGCGGCTCGGGGACGGGGAGCGCGGGGGCACGGCCCTGCAGTCCTAGACGGCGTGCCCTCCTGGCCGCCCTGGGCTCCCGGATGGGTGCCCGCGCGGCCACGGCCGGACGCAGCTGGGAACACGTCGACGTGTCGCTGCGGGTGGGCTCTGGCGGGGGGTCCGGTGCATGCCTAACCAGCCTCGGACGTATCCCTATATCCCTAAGAGATGGGCGAGCAAAACGCGAGGACAGTCTTCGGGATAGGCCCTCAAAAACTGAGGGAATCCTTAAGATCGGCATCGAGGTGAGGTGATGTCAAACATAGGGATAGGGATACGTTCCAGGCTGGTAAATGCCGCCCACATCGCGAGAGAAGAGGTCGCGACGGCCGTGGGGGGGGGCATGCTGGATATCTGCGCCCCTGCGGTGCTGCCAACACGTCGCCGCCGCGAACGGCTGCCGCGGCTCCCGCAGGAGCTGGGGAAACCAAGAGGTACCAATACCGCTACCTTGCCGCCGCTCGGACGTCCATTCCCCGTATTTGCATTGCTCAGTTTCGTGCGTGTTTTTTTTGGCCTGGTGATACAGGATGCCCTTCGATGGTCTTCGCCGAGAAAAATGTACCCGTCCGAGCGATGCCAAACTACGCCCCCGGGACCTCTCCCGGGGTGCGATCTGCCTGGGATCTCGAGGCGAATCCAACCGTGGCGACGCAGGCCTCCCAGGAGGCCCAAGAGGCGGAGCAAAAACGAGGGGAGGGCCGGGCGCGGTATGGGTACGCCTTTCCGTCCTCTGAGCCCTAGCCCTCGCGGGAGCCCGAGCCGATGCTGCACGCGTGCCGCGCTCACGCTGCGCGCCCTCCGCGCCGCGCGGCACGGGCCGGGCAGCGCGCCGCAGGCGCACGGCCCCTGCGCGCAGCCCCGCGGGAGGAGGGCATCGAGCAGCGGGCCGCCCCGGGCCGGAGCGTCGCGCGCGGAGAAGGCCCGGGCACGCGCTCTGGCGGTCAGGGGCGGGCGGCGGGCACAGCGGGCGCGCCCCAGGCAGCGGCAGCGCGTGCACGGGGGGGGGGGGGCGTGCCAGTCGGTGCCCGGGTCCCGTTGGTCGCGACGCCGGCGTGTGGTGGCGGATCGGCCAGTGGCTGCGCCAACGTTCGTCCTGGGTGTGCGCGGTTGTCTCCGCGCGCTCCCATCATGAAAAGCAGCGGGCACCCTGCAGGGCCGCTTGCCACGTTTGTGCGCACGGGGTGGCACAGTGCGCCGATGACTCACTATGCTGGCAAAGGAGTTGGGTTCGCGCGCCTTCCAGTACTGTCTGTCACACACTGTCGAGCACATGACGTCAATTGTCTGGGAACCTGCAGTGCGTACCTAGGGCGACCAAGGCTGAAACGGTTGCTCAGGCCATGACATGAGGACATCCTGAACAAAAGTGATGTCGCTTTTCGGCCGCTTGTGCCCTGGGTAAGTGCGATGTTCGGATCCTCTCACTGTCTGAATGAAAAAGGGTAGCCATAGGTGTCAACGTTGCCAGGGGTCGACCACGAAGGCGAAGAGGGCAGTTTGGCGGAGTCCACCAGTAACGACTGAATGCGTAGATGTGGTCTTTGTCAAGAGCTTTTTCCTGGGCGAGGGGTGCACGTCGCGGGGGATTTGCTCATTCAACTCGTAAATTCAAATTTCGCGCGGCGGAGTTGGAAATCTGGTCATGTACATTCTATGGGTTCTATGGGGCTCAGCAGCTGTGACACTTAGCCAAGGTGTGCCCCAGACTATTGCCAGGCAGTCGCCGCTTTTAATTACACCGAATGTCGCGCGGTCGGTTCGCAAGGTTCACAGCAGAGTTGGGCTAGCCAAGAGAAGCACAAGGCTTAAGCGTGTTGCGCCTTTAGAGAAGGGCCCTAAAGGGGCCCGTTAGGGCCCCTGCTAGCTCCAAGAAGGCCCCTTCAGGGCCTTCTTCGTCAGCCCCCATTCAGTTCACCCCCCGTTGCCACCCGCCCGAAACAGGGGATCCCAAAGGGGATTTGCATTGTTTGAGGCGCATCGTCTTCAAGACCCCCGCACTCAGGACCCCATCTGAGAACCATCGACAGCGGGCCGCTGCCGCTCCTCCCAGACCGCCGATGCCTTGCCTCCGGGCCCCTCCGGCGGGCTGATCTTTGTCAATCCTGGGGGGTCCTCCCCTTTCGGCGACGACGACGCCGACGACGGCGACGAAGACGACGACGTCGACGACGACCGACGACAACGACGACCGACGACAACGACGACGACGACGACCGAAGACAACGACGACGACGACGACGACGACGACGACGACGACGACAGACAACGACGACGACGACGACGACGACGACGACGACGACGACAACGACGACGACGACGGCGGCGGCGGCGGCGGCGGCGGCGGCGGCGGCGGCGGTGACGGCGACGGCGACGGCGACGGCGGCGGCGGCGGCGGTGACGGCGACTGCGAAGACGACGGCGACGGCGACGGCGGCGGCGGCGGCCGCGGCGAAAGCCTGCGCCAGGCCCAGGGAAGTTCTTTGGCCGCGGAGGGGTGAGAAATGCACAGAAGACATCGCGCCGTCGGCTCCCTGGTCTACAACAGGACGAGAAGAATGTCATGACGCGATGGGCTCAGCTTGGGCGCAAATCCAGGGGGGTGGCAACGAATTATGCTTTTGGGGGGAAGACAGGTGCCCTTTTCGCCCTGTTCTGCACCCCTCGCTGCCCCCCCCCGCTCACCGCCCCCCGATCACGCCCCCCGGAGCACCTAGCGGCCCTCGGTTCTGCAGCCCGCGAGGAACGTCAGGGAGTTCAGGAGGTCCCAGAAGCCCAGGAGATCTTGCAACCCGTCATTCTCATGAGCTCTTGCTCCTCTGATGCCAGTGCTGGCGGCAAGGCATCCCCACTCCTGGGCCGCCCGTGACTGCCAGCCGCGGCGGCGCACCGGACCCGAGGCTGCGAGGCGCGGGCGCGAAGAGGCGCACGCCTCGGGCGTGCCCCCCGACGTGTGCACCGAGGAGCTCCGCCGGACTCCTCCCCGGGGCCCCAGACGAGTGCGGTGACAGACCGCGCGGTGACCTCCTCACCCCAAGAGACCTCAGCGCACACTCCGTCACCACACGTCTTTGGGGACCTCCGAAGCCCCAGTCGCCCGAAGCATCCTCGGAGAACGGCTCCCCCGAGTCCTAAAACATCCCAAGACCATGCGGTCACACCGCGTCGGCGCTGACTGACCGCACGGTGTCGCCACCGCACCTCTGCGGGAGCCCCCGCGCCGACATGTCCGGCGCAGGGGGAGGAGCGCCCCACAGGCGCCCGACATGCTGCGATCCGCGCGCGCAATGCCTGGCTCGCGACTCACACGGCAATCGCCCACTCACGAGCAGCATCGTCACGCGAAGAGCGCTCGGGCGACTCTGAAGACACCAAACACACGCCGCACACACCGAGCAATCACGGAGCATGCGCTCGAGCACACGTCGAACATGCGCTCAGACAAGCGGGGACCGACGGAAACGATAGCTCCGGCAAGAACCCCCGTTGACCGGTCCCAGCTGCACCTGGCCCAGCGTGGCGACCACCGTCTCGAAAATGCCTGGGATACGCTTCAGAGGGTGTGACAGGCAGCGGATGGCATGAGAAAATTCAAAGTTAGAGAAAAGTTGGTTCGGCACACTTAACACCAACGAACATGTATGCTTTCCAACACTTACGCGCAACACTAAGGGATTCCGTTGAGTTCTGACGCTTGTATAGCGACAGATTAGACAACTCACTTAGACCCCAAGGAAATATACCATGGCTCCCCTAACAGTTGTACACAGAACGATGGGACCCCGTTGCGTGTGTGTATGTGTGTGTTGAATGGTTTGTGTTAAGCTGTTCGAAATTGTACGTGTGTTTGGACTCTGGCGTCGCGATCTGCGCGAGGAGTGCGTCTAGTTACCAGAAGGTGGAAGATTTCCCGAACGAGACGGGCATGCAATTTGCGGACGGGCGACGCAATAACAGCCTCAAAGCTCTATTCCTTCGGGGAGGTGCGTATGATAATATCTATCTGTCGAATACCTATAAGACCGCCCTTCTGGCAATAAGGAGGCTGGGGGCTGTGGGGCAGGTGCAGATTTCGGTCTGCGATCGGCATCGGATCGGGTCCGCGACCTAACACAATCCATGTGTATATCAAGATCTAGACTCGATTGTCGGTCTCGCGACCTGTCCAACTACCCCTA